GTCTGGCCCTGATGTAACGGGTGATCCCCCTGCCTCTGCCTTAGCCTCTTAAGTGCTTAATTATAGACCTATGCTGCTACACCTGTGCTGATTTTTATAGACTTTTTTGTAGTGAAATTACTGGAGGTCAATGAAGTTGTCTTTTAACAGAAGGAAAAAAATACATACACACACATAATCTAGTTATTGTTTTAAATCTCTGCTTCTCTAACAAAAATAGGTAAGACTGGGAATTAAAACAGAAAGTCTCTCTCTGTTTTGGGAGTCAGGCCATTTAGGATTGAGGCACTGGTGAATTCACTGAGGTAGACTCATGGAGACACTACCTCAGTGTCCCAACGAGAACATGGAAAGGCGAACAGCAGTGAACAGCTCAGCCCCCTTTTGTAAAGCCACTGTCTACTGATGAGGCTCCATCCTCAGGACCTAAACCCCTCCTAAAGGCCTGACTCCTTACACCACAACAGTAGAGGTAGAGCTCAACATGAGATGGGGTGAAAATGTCAGACGATGTCATTCATGGTCATTGCCGAAGTGAGCACTGTCCCTTGGCTTTGTGGTAGTTTTCTGTCATTGCTGCCTTCATGAATGGCATTAAGGCTGTTTCCTACCTAAAATACTGGGTTCATTATGCCTCTTTCTAAAAATGAGTAATTATCTTAGCTGCTTTAACAATGATTAAAAATGGCTTCAGTGGGCTTGCCTAGTAGTTTTCCCATTGCTGATATTCTCTCATATAAACATAATTAGTAATCCCAGTCACGAATAACTTCTTTTTTTTTTTTTTTTTTTTGGTTTTTATGAGACAGGGTTTCTCTGTATTGTCTTTGGGGCTGTTGGTCTAGCCTGGCCTTGAACTCACAGAGATCCGCCTGCCTCTGCCTCCTGAGTGCTGGGATTAAAGGCGTGCGCCACCACCGCCCAGCATCACGAATAACTTCTAACATCTATTTATATTGGTGAGCAGATGGGGGATACATTTACATATATACTTTATGGAACATTAATCATGTCAAACAAAGCTTGGGTAGGTTTTGTGTCACATACCTGTGATTCTAGCACACGGAGACAGAGCCAAGAGGATCACTCCAAGATCCAGGGCTACCCTAGTGAGACTCAACAAACAGAACCAATAGCTTGACTTTTTATTTGATTTTTTTCCCCCCAGGAGTAAAGAAAATTGTATTGTGGACAACATCAAAGTGTGTAGTAATGACACGGGCAGTGGGAAATTCAAAAGTATTTGCATCACAATACGAGTCCCTCGGAATCCAACCATTGGAGATAAATTTGCCAGCCGTCACGGACAGAAGGGCATTTTGAGCAGACTGTGGCCAGCTGAGGACATGCCTTTTACAGAGAGTGGGATGGTGCCAGACATTCTGTTTAATCCTCATGGGTTTCCCTCCCGTATGACCATTGGTATGTTGATCGAAAGCATGGCTGGAAAGTCTGCAGCTTTGCATGGTCTCTGCCATGATGCCACACCCTTCATCTTCTCCGAGGAGAGCTCAGCCTTAGGGTACTTTGGGGAGATGTTAAAGGCTGCTGGTTACAACTTCTATGGCACCGAGAGATTGTATAGTGGCATCAGCGGGATGGAGCTGGAAGCAGATATTTTCATCGGTGTCGTTTATTACCAGCGCTTACGCCACATGGTGTCAGACAAATTTCAAGTTAGAACAACTGGAGCCAGGGACAAGGTCACCAACCAGCCTATTGGGGGAAGGAACGTCCAGGGTGGAATCCGCTTTGGGGAAATGGAGCGGGATGCTCTGTTGGCCCACGGTACATCCTTTCTCCTTCATGATCGGCTCTTCAATTGCTCTGACCGCTCGGTGGCCCACGTATGTGTGAAGTGTGGCAGTTTGCTCTCCCCACTACTTGAAAAGCCTCCGCCTTCTTGGTCTGCTATGCGCAACAGAAAATACAACTGCACTGTCTGTGGCCGCAGTGACACCATCGACACTGTCTCTGTGCCATATGTTTTCCGGTATTTTGTCGCTGAGCTGGCAGCTATGAACATCAAAGTAAAGCTGGACGTCATTTAACGTGATCCTAGACATCTAAGTTAGGAGATGAGAACAAAAGGTGACTTTAATCCAAAAGGTGGTTTCACTCTGGGTCTATACAAGGATCAGTACTGAAGCCAAGAACAGGCAGCTGAGAATTCACAGCTTCCGTGACTCTCACACCTGCTGAAGTTGGTTTTGCTATGTTTAAAAATGTTCTTAAGGCTGGAGAGATGGCTCAGCAGTTAAGAACACTGGCTGCTCTTCCGGAGATCTTGAGTTCAATTCCCAGCTACCACATGGTGGTTCACAACCATGTGTAATGAGATCTGGTGTCCTCTTCTCGCATATATGCATAAATAGTAAAAAAAAAATCTTAAAAAAAGTTATTAAGTGTCTTCTTTAAAAAATGGTTTATTGATAATAGATCATGCAGGGACACCTCCTTTCCAGGGTTAGGTTCACTGCTCCCTGTCTTTCATCCATTCAGAGCAAGGCAGGATAATAGACAAAAAATGGGAGCCATAAATATATTTTTATTTTTATATACATGTAAATGAAAGCTATTTCATGTATATAATCTGATGGATTATAACATAAGTTTGTGATGTTGTCATGGTCAAGGTAAATAAACATCTGTCACCTCCGGTTTCCTTGTGCACCTTTGGGTGGTGTGTGCATGCATGTGTGTTTGAGATCAGTAACTCATGGTGAGATCATGCAGCGCTGCCCTTGGTGTTCTCAAGGTTCAGCCATGTCCTCAAATATGGCAGGACTTCCTCCTCTAAGGCTGGATGTATCTGATTAGTGAGTAGCTATGTTCCTTTGCCTTTCTCTATTTTAACCTTTGAGTTTTTTGAGTGCTTTTTAGGGTTTTGTGTGTGCTTCTGTATAATATCTTATGGCTATTAATGGGCGTTTGAAGGAAAACACCTTGAGCTGGTTGATACTTCCCCCTGCCATTAAAAGAAGCTCAGCTTTGGACCCCATTCTTTGCCTCAGTCCTATGGCTGGGGGTACTTTTCAGATCTTTTAGTGTCACAGATAGTTGTGGTTTTGAGGGTCTTTTTTGCTGAGGGTAGAAGTCACAAGATTGGCTGTCATCTTCCTGCCTCAGGCTCCAGAGTTAAAATTATCAACACATACCACAATACCCAGCTAAATTGGTTTTGTTTTTCTGTAGTCCTGGCTGTCCTCATTCTGTAGACCAGTCTAGCCTTGAACTCAGGGATTACCTGCCTCTGCCTCCTGAGTGCTAGGATTAAAGGCGTGCACTACCACTGCTCAGCACCAGATAATTTTTTGTTTTGTTTTTCCGAGACAGGGTTTCTCTGTATTGTTTTGGAGGCTGTTCTGGAGCTTGCTCTGTAGACCAAGCTGGCCTTGAACTCACAGAGATCCGCCTGCCTGTGCCTCACAAGTGCTGGGATTAAAGGCGTGAGCCACCAACGCTTGGCAGCTAATTTTCTTTTAATTAACTTTTGATCTTAAATTGTAGATTCTTGACCAGTAAACTGACATGACACTAAGACAACCCAAGAGCTTACTCAAATTTTTCCAATTTTGTGTGTATTTACGTATAGTTGTATGGAATGTTATCCTCTGTGTAGACTTGTGTTACACATAAGATACTTGTCATGTTGTGCCTTCTGTTAGTATTTCTAACCCTTCAACCCTTCTCTGTAATTTCAAGAAATGCATGTAAATAGAATAAAATGCTTTGAGACTGACTTTTTTTTTTTACTTAACAGAATCCCCCTTAAATTCATCTGAGTTGTATGTATTAATCCATATGTTTGTATTGCTATATAGTACTCCAAAGTATGGGTGAACTAGTTAAACCATTTATGTTGAAGGACATTCAATTATTTCCAGTTTGGGGCATTAACAGGTAAAGCTGCTCTGGAAAGCCACATACATGTTTGTGTATAGAAACAGTTTTCTTTTATCTGGGACAGATGTTCAATAGAACAATTACCAAGTCATGGTTTTATAAGAAATAGCCATGGGACTGGGGAAAGCGCTTGCTGTGCAAGCATGAGGCCCTGAGTTTAAATCTCCAACACTCACATAAAAGACACAGCAGGGCACACTTGGAATACTAGTGGGTGGAATGTGGGACAGGATCCCAGGTGCTCACTGATCTGCCAGTCAAACTCACTGTTGGGCTCCAGGTTCCGTGACAAACCCTGTCCCCAAAGACGTAGTGCAGAGCAATGGAGGAAGACCCTGCCACGGGCCTCTGGCCTGCACAGTCATGCACCTGCACACACACACACACACACACTGTACACAGTGAATGGACCTGGTGTTTGACACAAGACACCTGAAGACCAGCTTCTCAGCACAAAGATGTATTTGCCTCAGAGGGACAAAGCACAGGGAATAAGACAGAGATAGAGGACAAAGTGGAAGGGACATTTGTCAGCAACAAGAGAAGGGGAAGGGATATTTGTCCTGGAGGCACAAAGGACTGTCACAGGATAGAGAGGAGATAGATGTGGCCCATAGCCAATGGTAGTTTATAAAGGTAAGGGGGGAGATCTGTGTTAGGGTGAGGTGTTTAATTTTGGTTGGGCAAGTTAATGAAAGTTGGACCTTGGAAGTCAGCCTCAGGGGAGAGGAAGTGGCTAAATAAGGGGGCAGGTTTGGTGGCGAGCTATGTAATCTAACAGTTCTAAGCAAGGTGGGGAGCGTGTACCGAAGTAAAGCCAACGGTGGCAGCTCAGCGGAGAGGTCAGGCCCCTGTTGCTGAGTCCAGCAGCGGCGGACACGGCTGCAGCGTGCAAACTGGCAGCGCGGGCGACTGCAGACCGCAGACGACACCCACAGGGAACCCGACTCGCTCTGGTGCCGAGGAGCAGCAGCACTTCCGATCCCATACTTCCGGTGAGCTCTAAGCGACTAGCGCTACAAGCCGGAAGTTTTTACTGAGCAGAAGCAAAAATAGCCGGCAGACCGGAAGTAGTTACGTAGGGTCCGGCCCGGTAAAGCAGTGAGCCGGAAGGGGAGGCAGAGCGCAGCCATGATGATTGAACCTAGATGGGATGAGTGGCTGGACTCTCGGCGACCGGAAGAGTGAAGCCGGGAGGTATGGGTTGGGCGCCGCCATGTCAGCCTGATACCGGAAAAGGCGGGTCTCCCTGACGGATCGGCGCCTGAGCTCGCCTGGACATGTGAGTTATAGCTCCCTACAACTCTAGATCGTGCTTGTCAGGCTGCATGATCCCCAGTGGGAAACGACTGCATTCAAGACTGGAGATACTCCAGGCGTGCCTCACGATAACCAGACTTTGTTTTAAGACTTCCACTGTCTTTCCAAACACTCCAGCCCCGTACCACAACGCTCTGGGCTCAGCTCTTATTTCTGTCCCTCGTTGGTTGTCCCTGTCATAGCAGCCTTACAATTTCCCAATCTATCCTGGATCCCTAGGCCAATCAGAGACCCAAATGAGAACTTTTTCTTGTCTACTCGAGATTATCTTCAGCTTACCCTGTCCCACAGGCAGGCAGCCCTGGAAGTTACTGCTCGATACTGCAGCCGGGAGCTGGAACAGTATGGCCAATGTGTGGCAGCCAAGCCTGAGTCCTGGCATCGGGACTGTCACCACCTTAAGATGAGCATTGCTCGCTGCACATCCTCCCAGTGAGTGTAAAACTGGGACTAGAGGGTGCTCGGCAGTGGGGTGGGAGTGCTCCGGGTCTGAAATGCCCTCCTCCCACAGCCCCATCATCCGCCAGATCCGCCAGGCCTGTGCTGAGCCTTTTGAAGCCTTTGAGGAGTGTCTTCGCTTGAATGAGGCAGCAGTAGGCAACTGCGCAGAGCACATGCGCCGCTTCCTGCAGTGTGCTGAGCAGGTGCAGCCAGCGAGTTCACCCACAACTGGAGAGGTAAAGGAGGCCCACGAGATCATCTCTTCGTCCCTTCACAACTCCCTTCTTTTAAGTCCTAGCCCCACCCGATTCCCACACATGCCTTGGATCCAGAATCCAGAACATGGTTGTCTGCCCCAAGTCGCAGGCAACCTCTGCTTTAGTCTAACTGTCTTTCACACACCTCCCCTGCCAGGCCACCTGTCCCAGCCGTCTCCCTGACTTGCCTGAATCACTCTTGCTTCCGTATAATGGCCTGAATTCTGGTCACATTGCCCTTGGTTAAAACTCCAGTGGTTTCCCACTCACACTAGACAAGGTTCCGGATTCTTACTGGATCCCTTGTGTTCTTCCCTTTCTTGCCCATTTTGTCCTTTTCATTGCTTTCAGCTGTACTGGTGGGGGTGACAGGTAGAGTGGGGGGTTCACAAAAGACGACCTTAATGTACACAATACGTAAACACAGCCAGTGTATCTGAGATATGAATGACACTGATGGGGCAGTTAGAAAAAGACTTAAAATGCTCTGGGGTTGGCAGAAATGGAGGAGTGAGAAGCACCCTTTGGATGTTTTTTGCCAGGCCACTCCAGAGGGACACGTCACACCTTTAACCATCCACCTCATGGGGTCTCTCGTGGCGTCCTCTGTCCCTGCAACCTGCTTTTTCTTTCTCACTGTCTTCTGTGCTGCCCCATCTGTCCTTTCCAACCCTCTCCCTGTGATGGCCCCAGCATGATCTCAGAGGAAATCTTACCATGTATGTCTGCTTCTACATAGAGCCCTCTCTGTGGTTTCCCTTTAGCCAGACTGGTCCTCGTCTTCAGCGCAACCTGGTCTTGGCTGACTCTGGTCTCAACCTCTTCTGTTCTCCACCTCCACGCTCCATCCCCAGTGAACAATGTAGTTATTCAAGGGCATGTCTGCCTTGCTTCTAGTTATTTTGCTCTGCCTGAACTACCCTCCCCAGTCCATCTTCTGTCTAATTCTTACCCCGTTTACATGGTTCTTCTCTCAGAAAACCTCCTGTATTCCCTATTCCCTTACTTTTAAGCTCCCTCCATCCTGGTTCACACCCCTACTGTTTCCCTTGTATCTTGTGCTTCAGGAGAATTCTTGGCTAAAGGTTACCCTCTAATTATACCTGATATTCATTGGTTATTTGCACAAGACAGGGGTAGTTGAAAGACTTAGGTTATGAGGGCAGAAACTGCCCAGAAGGACTTTAATTCTCCACAGGAAATGTTCAGGAAAGATTACATATTGTTCATACCAGTTGCTCAGATATCTCATAGGAGTATTTCTTTCTTTCAAGTGTTTTTGGCATCTGGACAATAAAGCCCTTTCATTATTTTATGTGTATTGATGTTATGCCTGCATGCATGTGGACCATGTGTGTGCCTAGTGCCCATGGAGGTCAAGATTGGGTGCCAGATCCCCTGAGATCCTCTGGAACTGGAGTTGCTGTGGCTGGTTGTGAGCCACCGTGTGGGTGCTGGAAACTGAACTCAGGTTCTGCGAGAGGAACAGTGCTGAGCCATCTCTTCAGCCCCTCTTCCTGTAAGGTTGGTTTTTTGTTCTTCCTAGACCAGCAGCCATCCCCTCAGGCTCCTCCGGCCATTCCTGCTGTCACCCCACAGCTCCTCCCTGCAACTACAAGAGCTTCTAAAAATGGCCATTAGGGCAGGGAGGTGGCTTAGCAGGTTAAGGCATTTGCTGCCAGGCCTAATAACTTGCGTTCTATCACTGACTCCTGCAAATTGTCCTCGGACATACACACACATCTACACACAAGCACTGCTTAGATAAATTAATAAATGTAAGAGTGGAAAACAAAATGGGAATTAAGTAACTTGTCTCCCCTCATGGTTGAAGGCTCTCCAGTGCCTTAGGAACAACTAACACCCAGTTCTTTCCCTGTCCTGCTCCTTCATGCTGATGGCGTCACAGCTTCCGTTTTTTTCCTCCTCATTGGGGGTGTTGAGATTTAGGCCTCCTCTGTTCTCCAATCTTCACATTAAAGACATGACGATACCATGTGACAGAAAGGCTTTGTGACTGGTAGTTCAACAATCTCCCTGTTCCTGCACACAGACTTTTGCTCTTTACCTGTGAGGTGACTTTTTTATTCTTTGGGTGTCTCTGTCTTCCATTTTGAAAGCAAGTTTCCTAGAATGAGAGTTTTTTGGGTTTTTGTTGTTGTTTCGAGACAGCGTTTCTCTGTGGCTTTGGAGGCTGTCCTTTAACTCTTGTAGACCAGGCTGGTCTCAAACTCACAGAGATCCGCCTGCCTCTGTCTCCTGAGTGCTGGGATTAAAGGCGTGTGCCACCACCGCCCGGCTAAAATGAGAGATTTTTGCTTCCTGGATCCCCACCACTTGTAACAATGCTGGCATGTGCCTGTAATTCTAGCACTAGGGAGGCTGAGGTAGGAAGACTGCCTTGAGTTCAAAGCAGCTTGACTTCCATAATTGAGCTCTAGACCAGCCTGGGCTACTGGTGTGTCCCAAGCCAACCTGGACTAGAGTTAGACCCTATCTCTCTCTGCTCTCCAAAACCAAACAAACAGAATACTACTTTCCAGCTCTGGTTTTTAGCTTACTGTGGACAACTTGTTCTCGTGGCGAATGGCCAAACCACTTGGCACCTTTACCCTCTAGACTGGACTATGTGAGGGCAGCCTCTACTGTGTCTGCCTCATCTCCCCACCAGTGGTCTCAAGGCCAGTAAATGTTGGTATGTTTTCTCCACAGGCACAGCCACAGCCGCTTCCTGCCACCTGAAGACCCCCTTGGACTTTGAGAAAACTAGACATGATTGACTAGCCCACATGATGTCCTCATCTGGAAGAGTGACCATTTTGGAGTCTTCAGGACTCTGGTGTGGGTCTGGCTTTCCTGGACTTTGGGACTCTAAGTAAATAAAGAGTACTGGGCTTTGGTTCCAGCCTACAGCATTGAAGGGGGCAAGCACTAGGGGAGCTGGAGGAAAGCTTGGGCACCCACCCCAGGCTTTACTTAGTCAGCCAAGTAAGAGGTGTGCCTGTCCCTGGCTTAGGCCATTCCCTGTCCCTGCTGTGTGTACGCTGGAAAAAGGCTTCTCTCCCACTCACTCTCACCAGATTGGTTTTGGTTTTTGGTTTTGTTAAGTCTCGGCAGTCCTGAAGCTCATTATGGATACCAAACTGGATTCAGACTCACAGCTAGGTTACAGGTGTGAGCCACCATGCCCAGCTTCCCTCTGGAACTAGAATAGAGACAACCCCCCGACCTCACACAGGCCAGTCAGTATGCCCCACCTGCCACTGTGCCCTGCACCTGCATTCACTACCGCTTTATACAGTTCTCTTGAGGCTTGTGTGAGGAGCAATAAATAGTGTATCTTTTCCACTGCTGAATCAAAACCAGCTGAGCAGTAGACACAGGCCTTGAGCAATGGATGTAAAAATATTGGTCTTCGAGAGGTGGTGCACGCCTTTAATCCCAGCACTTGGGAGGCAGAGGCAGGCGGATCTCTGTGAGTTCAAGACCAGCATGGTCTACAAAGCAAGTTCCAGGACAGTCAGCACTGTTACACCGAGAAACCCTGTCTCAAAAGACTGGCCTTATTATTGACAACAGTTGTGCGGAGGCAGAAGTAAGGCATGGGAATCAGAAGTTCAAGATCATCCACTGCTGTGTAGTTTGAGGCCAGACTAGGCCACCTGAGACTCTGCCTCATTAAATAAATTTAAAAATTGAAAACTGAGAGGACATGGCTTGGATGCATCCATGACTGGTTTGTCTTGATTAGCAATTTCCCAGAAGCCAGGTCTCAGGATGAGGCACTGATAATGTATTCTGAGTCTGAATCCAGAAATAGTGGTAGGGAGTGAAAGGGGGAGACAAGACAGCCAATAAAATGTGCATTATCTCAGTGGAAAAAAAAGATGGAATCTTGAAATTCACAGGCAAATGGATGGCACTAGAAGAAACCATCCTGAGTGAGGTAACCCAGTCACAAAAGACAAACATGGTATGTACTCACTCATAAATGATTTTAGACATAGAGCTAAACAGTACCAGCCTACAGTCCACACCACCAGAGAAACTAGGAAACGAGGACCCTAAGAGAGACATACATGGTCCCCCAGAGAAGGGGAAAGGAACAAGATCTGAGCTAATTGGGAGCATGGGGTGAGGGGAGAGGGAGTTAGGAGAAAGAGAAGGGGAGAGGAGGACATGAGAGAGCAGGAAGATCGAGTCTGAATCGAGGATGAATAGAGAAAAGCAAAAAAGAGACACTATAATAGAGGGAGCCATTATAGGTTTAAAGAGAAATCTGGCACTAGGGAAATGTCCAGAGATCTACAAGGTTGACCCCAACTAACAATCTAAGCAATAGTTGAGAGGCTACATTAAATGCCCTTCCCTGATAATGAGGTTGATGACTTCCTTATATGCCATCCTAGAGCCTTCATCCAGTAGTTGATGGGAGCAGAAGCAGACACCCACAGCTAAACACCGAACTGAACTCTGGAATCCAGTTGCAGAGAGGGAGGAGTGATGAGGAAAGGGGTCTAGACCAAGCTTGAGAAACCTACAGAAACAGCTGACCTGAACAAGGGGGAGCTCATGAACCCCAGACTGATAGCTGGGAAACCAGCATAGGACTGTTCCAGACCCCCTGAATGAGGATGTCAGTTTGGAGGTCTGGTTAATCTATGGTGCCTCTGGTAGTGGGTCAGTATTTATCTCTAGTACACAAATGGACTTTGGGACTCCACATAGAGGGATACTCTCTCAGCCTAGATACATGGGGGAGAGTCTAGGCCCTGCTCCAAATGATATGACAGACTTTGAAGATTCCCCATGGAAGGCCTCACCCTCCCTGGGGGGCAGAAAAGGGATGGGATAGAGGGTTGGTGGGGGGCAGGGGAGAAGGGGAGAGAGGCAGCTGGGATTGACATGTAAAACAAGCTTGTTTTCTAATTTAAATTTAAAAAATGAAGAGAAACAAATGAAAAAAAAAGTGTATATCTGGGTGGCAAGATGGATCAGTGAGTGAGGATGCTTGCCACCAAGCCTGATGGCTTGAGTTTGATCCCCAGGACCCACATGTTAGGGTGGAGCTAACTAAGTGCACTGTCAAGCTGGTTACCACGTTGGGAAATGAGACCTATGAGAATGGCATAGAACTTAGTTACTGTGTCTAAAAAGTTAGTGTATTTACTAACTCCCTGTCTGTCAGAGAGGGCCATTGTCACAAGCAAGGCTTCTTGCATTATCCCACCTTGCAAACTATATGGCAATATGGGTTATGTTGCTCTTTTTCCCCCGAAGTTTTTTTTTTCCAAAATGCCCTTAACCTAGCATAGTGGGTCCCTTTTGTAATCTCTAGGGGAAGTGAAAAGTTTGCCAGGTTTGAAGTCAGCCAGTGCTAGTGAAAAGACCCAAAAAATATGACAAAGAAATAACAACAACAAAATAGGTTTAGCTCTGGTCCAGCAGGCATTTTTGAACTGCTGTCTAGCCCACTGCTGGCCATAGTGAAAGCTTGTCTTTGGACCTGGACCCTTGTTTTTATGGCTAGTGTTTGTAATGGCTCAGTAAACCCTCTATTTCAGAAGGCTCTTGATCTCTAGAACTTTTGGTTAACAATGCCCATGACCTTCATACAGATTAACCACTGAGACAAGTCTCTTCTCCCTTGAAGTGACTCCAAAAGCAGTCAGCCACTTGACACAAATCCCGAGATTTGTGTCATGGCTTAGAAAACTGAGCCTGACCCATTGAGAGTTTCCTTTCAATATTTGCCTCCAAAACAAAAGAAATCTGTTGGTTTAGGAGTCAAAGTGGAAGTCCTATATAGTCAACAATGGGAGGGGCTACCAGGTGCTATGTGGGTTGCAAGATTGGAGGGAATAGGTGGCAAAGAGCGGGTGCTGCCTAGGTTCTACTCCCAGCTCATTTTTCCTGAGCTTTGGTTTGAGCCTCAGACTTTGGAGGATGTTTTCAGGCATCTTATTTTGTTCAAGTGGGGTTCTGCTCCATTCTCCTAAAAGTGTGATGAGAACAGACAAAAATGGAGGTTCAGAATACATTTTAGAACATTTTTATTTGGCCTCTTTTTTGGACCAAAGAATCCAACAGAGCGAAATGGGAAACCTTAAAGGCATCATGCTACTACCTTCTATTGGCCCAAGCATTTTTGAGGCCTCACACATTACAAAAATGGAGACTTCATTTCCCAATGACATTTGGTGGCAAAGAATCTGTACCTATATGTAGGCTACCAGAACAAATTTATGGTGTTTTATTTCTCTAGCTGTGTTTGGTTTGGTAGTTGTATTTTTCTGATAATTTATCACCTTGTCTATGATTTGGGGTTATATTAATCTGCTCACAATATCCATGCTATCCCAAGGCCTGTAGCATCTGTAGTATCTGTCGTACTGCCTCTCTAGCTTCAGACGCTATGCTTCCTATCTCTATCAGTATGGACAAGGGTATGTCAAGTTTGTTAACATTTTCCTATAATTTACTTTTAGCTTGTTTGTCTTCATTTTGGTTTGTGCTTGCTTGTTTGTTTTGAGATAGGATCTCTTATAGGCCAGGATGGCCTGAATTTTTTGTGTAACAAAAAAGTTATCTTGAGCTCCTGATCCTCTTGCCTTGGGATTACAGGGGTGTGTCACCAAACCACACACAACCTGTACCTTTTTGAGGTGGAAGTTTCAGGCCTCTCCTTTACAAATACATGTATATTACATTGCTTACAAATTTGATTATTGCAATTTCTCTCTAATTTATTGGTATTGGATTATTTAGAAATTTAGAGGTATATTTCTTAATTTCTAACCATATGGGAATTTTTCTAGTTATCTTGCCTAATTAAATTGGTTTGGTAACATCTTTTACATTTCACTCTTTTAAAATTTGTCACAGCTTTATGGCTTGGCAGAGGCTCAGTTCTGTTAATGTGCCATATGTTCTTGAGTCATAATCTCCCTCATGGTGCACTGTCTTAGCTTAAGGATGTGAGACAGGGAATCAGGAGATGATCCCAGAAAGCCACGGTAGTAGAACAATGAGTGTGACCACGAAGGGAAAGATCTCACCAAGCAAACTGTCACAGTGGACAACAGCATGACCCAGATACCACTGAAAACAAAGACTAGATGATGATGTTGTTTGTTTGACAACCAACAAAGATTTATACAAAAGGATTAGGAGACAGAAAGAGTAAGCAAAGAACTCATAGTGTTCAACATACAGAAAAACATGGGAGTATGTACTCAGAATACACACAGCAGTGTGAATGGAAACTGAATTTCACAAATGCACAGCATAGACAAGCACTTCTACATCAACCAAAATTAGCATTCGACCAGTTGTGGTGGTACACACCAATAATCTCTGCCTGCTAACTTTATGTCTTTAGAGACCTCAGAATCAGTTGACCATCCTCCTTTAGAACTATTTTTCTAGGCAAGAGGGAAAATGTATATATAAATAACAATGCTAAGGAGACTCTGTGTGTGTGTGTGTGTGTGTGTGTGTGTGTGTGTGTGTGTGTTTCCAAAAATAAGGAATTTTATCGAAGTGGTAATTCTCAGACTTGGCTGCATATTGAATCAACGTTTAAGCTTTTTAAAGTGTGGGTCTCATCCCAAGAGATTCTGGCTTAATTGGCATGAATATAGCCTGGCTTTTAAAAAGCATCATGCTATGTGATAAAAGCCAGCATACTTTCTTTCAAGACTGATTTTCCTTAGAGAATCTGGCTTCTATTTGCACACATTCCCTCCAAACGGCTTTTTGTTATTGCTTTGTTTTAAAGACAAGGTCTTGCTATGTATCTCTGCTGGTCTGTTAGACCAGGCTGGCCTCAAATTTACTATAATCTTGCTACCTTAGTCTTCAAGTCCTGGGATTACAGGTGTGTATCACCAGCCCTGC